AAAAATAACTGATTGGTAGTTTTCATTTACTATACATACCTAATCAAATATTTTCGAAGTCGGTGTGCTTTGGCTAAGTAATTAAAGTCTACCTATTAAATACATACCTAATCAAATATTTTCAAAATCGGTGCCAGCCCATACAAAGCAAAGCACACCGACTTCGAAAATATTTGATTAGGTATGTATAGTAAATGAAAACTACCAATCAGTTATTTTTTACTTTTTAGTGCTTTTGTTTGAAGTCGGTTTTTATTTTTTTGTTAAAAAGTTTTTATTTTAATAAAAGTAGACTATAAGTTAGTCTTTATAACATCAGCTATGTGCCAGAAAGTTCCGTCAAAATCAGTCCAACCGTTTCGGAGATTAGCCGGAACAAACCATCGATTGGACCATAGTCCACCACACTAGCCAATTGCGAGTTGGCGCACTTCACATGTCTTTCGAAAACTTACTATAGTTTGTCAGATATGCAGGTTTTCTCACGATGTTTTCTTTCACCGTAAGGCAAGTGGTAATCATGTTAGAAATGATTCGCACGTGAAAATATCAGAGGTGCGAGTCCCGGAATTTGAACTCACTTCACTCTGTTTCCCAAACGACCGCTGTCGCTTACCACTGGGCTACTATTGCCTACCATGTGTATTAGCATATGTTTGATATTTCAAGCTAAAAGTTGAAATGTTTTTAAGATAAAAAGTATACACAAAAAATACACGTTGGTAAAAGAGACATGAAAAAATATATATCTATATGATAATAATTTAAAAAAACGTATATAATAATGCTTACAAACGATTTGATCATTTTATACTAATAGCTCAGTTACAGGCAAATGAAGAAATTCGAAATTAAAAACATGATACCAAACTTAAATCAATGTAGTAAATCATTACAAAAATACTAAAAAGTATATTTTACAATATACTTATAACGTTTAGACGTTAGCAATGCTAATTTTGATAAAACTTTCATTGGACGGGAGAAAGTAAACAAAATTTTACATATATTCTACATTTTTTATATACTTATAATATAAAAGTTAAAATTAAGGTCAAACAAAATGCGCATATGCCATAGACAATTAAGTAAAATAAACGTGTAGATACTTCATTTTTTATTACATTTTAAAGTAATTTGTATAATTTATATCTAGTATTTTATATAATAAATTGTTTTATTAAAATGAGAGTTAAACCGGATTCCATATTAGGGTAAGACGGGTGATACGTTATGTTAGAACTAGGTCGGCTGAAGAAGTTATTTAACAGGTCTAAAACTTCCTTGTTAGGCTACTCGTTTAGAATCATAATAAAATTTGCCTAATCTTAATATATATATTTCTTGTGTGCGTGTGTATGTGACTGAACTCCTCCTAAACGACTGGACCAATTTTGATGAAATTTTTTGTGTGTGTTCAAGGGGATCTGGGAATGGTTTAGATTCACAATTTGAATAATAATTTTCATCAAAAAAATTATTAAAAAAAGTTTGAAATTTTCAAATTAAAGACGTGTAGACAGGACAACGTCTGTCGGGTCCGCTAGTATAATATATTTTATTAGTAAAGGAATTTTAAAATCGGTTTGAGAGGTCTCTATTTATAGTAAAAGTAGCTGTGCTCCGCGGTTTCAATCGCGTTAATTTTTGTTTGATTATAAACATCAGTTTTAAAATAATATATGGAAGTCTCCCCGATTCGTTTTCTCCCTTGAGTAGTGCATGATGATATATAGCCTATAGCCTTCCTCATTAACGGGCTACCTAATGCAAAAAGATTTTTTAAAAATGGATTAGTAGTTCCTAACATTAGCACGTTCAAACAAACAAACAAACAAACAAACAAACAAACAAACAAACAAACAAACAAACAAACAAACAAACAAACAAACAAACAAACAAACAAACAAACAAATAAACTTGGCCTCTTTATAATATTAGTATAGATGAATCTAATCATACGTCTTTATTAGATTCGAATTAGTAGACTGATATAAATTACAAAATTCACTCTAAGTCTTACCCTTACTTCACTCGGGTACATCCCTAGGGTTCTTTTGTATTGATGGTATTACTAACATTTTATTTTATTTATGTACTAATGACTTACCGTAGCTTCGCTCGGGTGCGTCCCTAGGTAGCGGATTTTGTACACAATTTCATGGGTTTTCATTTTTCGCGCGAGACCCTGATGTTTTTCTAAAATAAAAGTAGCCGAAATTACTTCTTGTAACATGAGCTATCTGCCAGTGAAAGTGTTTTTTTTTTCTTATAAGTACCCAATATGCATTTAGTAACACGCTGTTATTTTGACATTACAAACAGACACTTCAATTTTATTTTATCTGTATAGATATAACGCCACTGACAAAAGCATAATATATATTTATAAGAACTCATAAATTTCTAAGTATTAACTTAATTATAGGTGTTACACACAATTCATAAAAAATATACACAAGTACCAACATGTAATGAATTGAATACAAAAATTATGAGATCATAAAAAAAATATCAGTAATTAATATTATATAATTATTAAAACTTAACTTTTTAACTTTCAGAGTCCGTAAAGAATTTTTTGATGATGATTTTTTTTTCTTAATTTTTTTATCCATGAGTCATGCTACGCACTGTATACAGTCTACATGCTGTATACAGCCTATAAGTTTTACTCCAGTTCAAATAAAAAAAACTTTAAAATTGTATTAATTATTTAAATGAGAATACATTATTTTGCATAAACTTAAATAATGTGTAACTTAACCTACATTAGTGAAAATTAATACTAGATATTACGGCCAATTTTTGCGTCATAAAAGAATCTACCCCATTATTTCCTTTGTAACAGGAAGTCAGTGCCATATAGACGCGCAATATCCCATGCTCACAGACAACATAAAAATTCAGCATCGTAAACCCAGTTATATAATTTGGCCAATCTGTATGAAGGTCAACGTACACAATGCAGTAGTTGATGTAAGCGTGTTACGCACCAACGATGAGACGGTAATATACTGAGTTTACCTAACATTTAAAACATTAAAGCTTAAAACGTAAAAGTTTTTTATTATCAAGGATATACTGTACAAGTCATGTCCGCTTCCTACCGCGAAAAACGAGTCTTCTTATCCAGTAAAGGCGATGATGATGAGTCTTACGCCTTTTAACCCTTGATGCAAAAAAAGCGGAGTTATAAGTTTAACGTGTCTATGTGTCTGTCTGTGACATCGTTGTTCCCAAACGGATGAACCTACATGTTTTGATTTAGTTTTTTAAGTGTTTAGTACTTAGTTTACCGAGTTATTTAAAATAATTTTTTGTACATTTTTTTAGTATTTTAAAACAAAGTAAGGAATAATTATTATCTCTTAAATGAAGAGACAAAATTTACACAATTACAGTAGGTAAATAGTTTAGTCTTTTAAAGGTGAACAAGTATTTTATGAAACAAGTATGCATGTATAATACCATCCAACGATCAGTATTAGTAGCTTGCTACTTGATCAGTTTAAAGTAAAAAAAAGTTTTATTACTTTCTATACTTTACAAATATAAATGGATGGGATTGATTTTTGTTGATACGCAGGTAGTGTAATTTTTTTCATTGTACTGTAGAGTCTTTCATAAGTTCTGCTCAAAAAGACTGTATTCTGAGCAAGATGCAATTTCCTTACGAAGTCTTAAACAACTATTAAAAATAAATGCATATAAATATCATGATTTAGTAAATATAATAAAGTATTTTTAAATCCAGGATCTAAGACATGTCGATTCTGAATATCACACAAATTAAATGAATTTCTTTACCACGAAAAAGTAACAAACACACTCACCCACAAACATCTATATTTATATTATTAGTCTCATTACTATACATAATATTATTAGTAAAATAATTAATTCTTTTAAATATTCCACTTTCGACAAACCGATGTAGGATGAACCACATATCACTCCACTTATGTTAAAGTACAGGTTTCATGAAACCTATTGTGACCCACGCACATTAACCTCCCAACATAGTTCTGACACTGAATCACAGTTAACAGTTGTTTTATCAAACCAGTGGCAAACATCAAAAAACCTCATGTTTGCGGTCAAACACCAAATTGAGACTTTACATAATGTTTCCTTTGTTTATGCGACATTGTTATTGACGTTATAAAGTACAAGGAACTCACCCTTGCTTCGCTCAATTTCGTCACTATGTACGTTTTAACGGTTAGTATGGAATAGATAGGACTAGATACTATATGATATTTAGCTTATAGCCTACCTCAATAAATGGGGTATCTAATGAAAAAAAGTTTTTCAAATCGGATTAGTAGTTCCTGAGATTAGCGCGTTCCAACAAACAAACTGCCTCTTTATAATATTACTAGTATACTCGTAGATTAGTATCGATTAAGATCTATGTCAAAAAAGGAAAGTGTCGAGATGATGCAATACAATATTATTTGGTGCAATATTGTTATACTATAAAGTACATAGTAGGCACAGTGTCTTTACACTTACAAAAAGTGGTAATTGGTGCGTCTATAAAGTAGTTAGTAAAATTTTATTTGCAACAAATGTACAAGTAATATATTAGCTGTGGCAGTTGACGGAGCACGACAATGGAAACAGTATATTATGGCTATTTCACCCGCCGCAATGGTTTACTGCTATAATGTTCCTATTAACTGTTACGAAATTGTTTCATCGGATTTCGTGATTTTTATTTAGATACCTCGTAACTGTACTTCAAAATCTTATTTGTTTAACGCTTTCCGCATCACGCTATTATAAGATGACGTGATTGTAGTTGGGTAAATCATGATATTATAGTAAAAATATATTTTATTAAACTACATTTTTTGCATACGGAAGATATACTGAATATTTTTTGGAGTAAATTGTGCAGAAAATGAAACAACAGAATTTAAAAAAAAATATTTTTGTACATTTATTATTTCTAATATGATTCTTTACCTTTTTCAGATGTGACAAAACTCACTATGGCAGCCACAGACGGCCAAGTTGTTGTCGCAGCATGCCGCTGGACAGACGAAGGACACTACCTCAGAGAGTTTGTCGTTAAGAATCGCCTCCCAAATGTCGCTAAAATTATTAAAGGCCAATATGGAGGCCTTGGAGTTCCAACGTTACCAAGTCCTGGACTTCAGAGCACGGCTCTAATTGTATCAGCAGGAAAAAGAAAAAAAATAATAGCTCAAGCAATAAAACTTAAAGAAGGTAGACGTATGGTCAGTGTAGGACCGCGAATTGCCATTCCAGATTCATATAAAGGTTATTTTGAGCTACTAAGTGAGGAAGGTAGAGCCGTTCGATGTATAGAACATGTTTCAGAGTTAGCGAAACGAAAACTGGAAGATGGATGTTTAGTAAGGGAGCCCGTTAGAGTTATATGTGCTAAGACAGACTTAGATGGAAATATTACTGCTGATGGAGCGAGAAATCTACCAGCTGGTGAAGTGATAATGCCTAGAGGCGAAACATTTTTAGGTAAAAATAAATATTTAAAATGCACTGATTCTAAAGGGGACACTATTTTACTCAGTTTGGATCAAAGAGGAAAATTTTCTGCTATTGCTAAAGAAGAGAACATAAGTGGAGTTCATACAGCTAAAACATTATTGACAAAACGATTACCTATCACAGTTAGACTAGTACATGGGACTCCACCTAGAGGACTGAAAAGTGCAAGCCATTTTGTTCCAGAATTAAGGTTATTGTCTTTATTTGAAGAGGATCATGTTTTTGCGCTACCATTACAGAAGGAAGGCAATTCGTTAGTCGCCCTTCCTCTCGCAGCTCCTCTAAAAATGTTGCGATGCAAAAATGAAGAGCAAATAAAGAACTTCATGGAATTCGCCAGACTAATAGAAAAATGTAATAGATTACTAGTAGACGTAGTAGATCGGATACATGTTTTAGATGGAAAACTCGGAGATCCTAAAAGATTATTAAATGCGCCGCTTCACGCACCACCATTAATAAAAACAGGTTACTTTTTAAGACGAAGTGCTTCCTCTGATTCCGCTAACCAACATAAATACATGAACCGCCATAGTCATATCTACAGCAGTCATAGAGACGAAAACAGTATTCCTGATGAGTATGATGAAATAGATCAAATATACGACTACGTAAGAGGTTTTGCTCCTTTGCCCAAAAATATTAAAGCGTCTTACTGTAATGAGCCAACTCGACACGAATCCGCACCGGCTTCGCCTGCAGCTACGCCTATCCATATGCCCTTAATTACGGAAATCAAACCTGAACCTCCCCCCATAGAAACAATCCCAACTAAAAAACCTCTTAACCAAAAAGCTGAAAAAAGAACACGTAAATCAACGGCCACAACAAAAGAAACTCCAATAACTGTATACAAAGAAAAATGTTCTATAGCACCAGCAGCGAATTTGCCAAAATTGTATATTAAGAACAGTGTAAACAATAATAAGGGTAGGCCATTACTGAGTCAGAAAAGCCATTCGCCGACTAAAGAGGCACCTAGTCCAGGAACTAGTCCACTTAGACCTTTAACAAAAGGGGATTCACCAATATTCAATATACGATACAAGAGTCTATCAAATATTCACCAAGCCATGGAATTGGATGGTACATTGGACTCAAGTCACTCTGGAGGCAGAACTTCAGGTGATTCTGGAAACGGACCAAAGTTACCAGAAAAAAGATCTAGGAAGATAAGCAGACCTAAATCCTTAACGAATTTAGTATGGGAACTAACAGGGTATCCTATAGAAGCTAATGAAAAGCCCAAATCTAGGACTAAAAACGAAGGCTATAAAAAAATTGGCAACAAATTGTCTTTGGGAGCTCAAAAGAGAGTACCTACGCTGTATCTTTAAATTTTGGTAAGTACTGACGATATATCATTAATTTAAAAATATCTATACTATAATAAAACAGTAGAGGTCGAACGTCTGTACATAGCAAAAAAATTCTAAAAACTGAGTCAGGGGGATGTAAAAAGACAAATAGAACAAATCCAGATTTTTTTCAATTTTTTTGTTTCTCTGTCTGTTTTTCTGTTTGTACGGGCTAATCTCCGAATCTACTGGACCTATTTAAATGAAATTTTGCTTGGTGGTACCTTATATTCCCGGGCAGCAGACTTTTTATCCCGGAAAATTAATTAGTTCCCGTGGGATAGTTAAAAACTATAATAACTTATACAGCTTAGTACACAAAAACTACTGATTGGATTTTAATAGAACTTTACAATAATATTGTTCATACATAACAATAACAAATCGGCTACTTTTCATCCCGGAAAACTAAAGGGTTCAAGAGGGACAGTCAAAAAACTATAGTAACTTATACAGATTAAAACACAAAAACTACTTATTGGATTTTGATGAAACTTTACAATAATATAAGTCATACATCAGAATAACAAATAGGTTACTTTTTATCCCGAATGTACAGTTCCCGTGAGATAGATGTTTTCGTTTATTTGTAACGTATTATGTACATAACATAGACCCCAAAACAAATATTATTAAAAAAATGGTCTATTTGCCTGTATGACTGTTTTTTTTATGCGCGTTTCACGCGAAAAGTAATGAACTGATTTCAACGAAATTTGGTGAAGTGATAACTTATTACTCGAGTCAACGTTTAGGATACATTTTACTTCAAGAAAATCTTTCTTTCTTACGGGAAGATACAATAACTGGTTTTATCGAGTCCTCCCTAGAAACCTTCCGCTGGCTCAACCTTCTATACATACATCAAAACAATATATCTACTAAAAAATTGTAGGTCTTGAAAAGTCCTACAGAAAAGTCCTGAATAGTATATATATATCTCCTAAGCAATATCCATTCTTATCTATTATACCTATGATAAAACTAACTTGTTCAAATCGATGTGCGCGTTTCACGCAAAAAGCACTGAACCGATTTTAATTAACTTCTGTATAGTGATAACTTAGTACTCGGGTCAATATTTAGGATACCTTTTACGACAGGCAATTATTCATTCCCACGGGAAAACACAATAACTCGTTCTATCAAATTGTCCTTAGAAATTTATATGGCTAACGCTGGCTCAACCTTAAGAGATAGATCAAAACATTGTACAAGAAAATTGTAAGTCTTAAAAAGGTCGATAGAAAAGTTCTCAATAGCATATGTCTATCTCCTAAGATATACTCGCTATAACTATATTCATTATTATATATTACTGTTTTATTATACGTTATTTATTCTATCTATAAATATAATAAAACTATAGAGGTCGAGTGTCTGTACATAGAAAAAAATGCTAAAAACCGACTCCGTTATCTTCTTACATCCCGTAAGAAGAAAAATATAACAAATCCAGAGTTTTTTCAATGTTTTTGTTTCTCTGTCTGTTTATCTGTTTGTACGGGCTAATCTCCGAAACTATTGGACCGAATTAAATGAAATGTTGCGTGGTCCTTATATCCCCGGTACCTTATATCCCCGGTCAACATGTAAGATACTTTTCATTCCGGAAAATTAAAGAGTTCACGTGGGATAGTTAAAAAACTACAGTAACTTATACAGCTTAGTACACAACAACTTATGCACCTAATTTAGTAAAATTTAACATTCTGATACCTTATACGCCGGTCAAACAACAGGTACTTTGATCCCGGAAAAATGAACGGTTCCCGTGGGAACTAATAAATCTCTATCAGTGTTTTTCTAGAGGCGAATCCGAGCGAAGCGAGGGTGAGCCGCAAGTATTATAATAAATTGTATTATATTTTAACTTATAATTATTATATTAATAAAAATAACAAAGTTGATTAATACTATCTTTAACGCCCATGGGTTGACTGGAAGAAGTCTCTTTTAGTGATAAGTTCACTTTTGCATTTGACCTTTAATATTATGTAACATATAATATCGTGTTTCACAAGTTCAATAAAGGATAACTATCTATGAAAGTTTATAAGTAGTACATATATTTTTCTATAACAATTTCATATAATTAATTTTTCTTTCATATTTTGCTACTATTGCTTAAATTTTAATTTTAAACAAACCTTTAAATAGCAATATATAGGTATGTAGAATTGCGAATCATCCTTAAATGCTGTAACTTTCACGGCTCTAAGTTCACTTGCTGACTACGCAACGGTTAGACTGCCTTATGGAGCAAAAGCTAATAATAATAATCACCTTAGTACATCATTTTTAAGCATTATACCTTGTAAAGATATAAAATTAAGATACTGTGGTTTTATAAGCTTTTATTTATAATTAAATTTAAAAATTTCATCGTGTTGTAAATACATAAATAGTGTAACCTTACTACATATTATAAATTAACGACTTACTTCACTCGGGAGCGTCCCTGGGGACGCGGATTTTGATCACAATTTTAAGGGTATTAATTTTTTGGGTGCAAACCTAATTGTTCTTCTAAAGTAAGAGTACGTTAGCCTAAGTTACTCCTTATAACATCTATCTACCAGTGAATGTCCCGTCAAAATCGGCCCAGCCATTTCGGAAATTAGTAAAACGCTGTTATTTTGACATTACAAACAGACTCTTCCTTTTATTTTTTTGTATAGATTAGAATCCCCCACCGTGCTGAGTTTGTGTTTATTCAGAATAATCTCAGAAATTTATTATATGTAGGTATAAATTTCTATGGCATTTAGGGAAGCGAAGGGTCATTAGTATATTAAAATTTAAACGTGATTTATTTATTTATTTATCCTTCTCTAACGTTGCAACGAAGCATCCGATTTGGACGATTTTTTGCATACGGTTAGCTTATTGGCTGAAATTTGATTTAGGATCAAACATTATTAAAAAACAGTGTCTAAAGACATAATAACATGCTTTCTAAGCTTTGCATCATTTTTTTCTATGAATTTGAAATATTAGTTTTAATAGCTTCCAAATAACAGGAAAACGATGTTTTTGTTCTATTGTAATATATTCATTTGATATATAAATATTTAGACTATTTTAATTATCAGCTCAAGTACTTAATTAATTCCATATGAGGAGAAAATCCGTTAAATACTTTTTGCGTTTTCCGACAAATATGTTCATGGACCATGTTATTATTTAAAATAAATCTAAGTAGGAACTGTTCGCTTCCATAACTTCAACTAGTAAATAATACTTGAATACTTACAACTATTTTGCATTAATTACATTTGCGTGCGAAAGGAATCTAATTAAGGTACACCCAAAAACAGTTATAATAATGAGTATCTCTTAGGAATATATATGTTATATATCTAATGTATATCTTTTTTCCTCAAAGATATCATACTGCTACATATATATACATACTATAAATTTATATTTTTTTATATTTTATAGTATACATATATATCCTGAAGGAAATACCTAAAAATAAAATTTACATGTATGTAATTTCTAAAGAATTAGTAAAAGTATATGTAACAATATTTTTTTAAATGTTTCTCCTTATAATTCAAATATATATATATATATATATATATATATTTATATATGTATATATATATATATTTATATATGTATATATGTATATATATATTAAAGTGTGCCAAAAAATGACGATATTTTTTTTCTTCGCTCTCATCCCAAAATATCTCGGAAAATGTCCCAATAAAGTTCCTGTTAAAATAGAAGCTCAAAATTCCAATTCTAAGAGGTTCACCATCTAATTTTAAGTTTTCCCATACAAATTACATGGAAAAAATGGATTTTAATACTTTTTTGCCCTGCACTGTGACGAAAATATTTTTCAAAAAAATTGAATGAATGGCCCTTTTTAAGTATTAAATTTACTACAAAAAGTTCCATTGAATCAAATTTCTATCTTCAATATTTGATTTGTTATATAGCTTAAAAGTTCAAATTTATGGTTTTTTTCATTTTTTAGCTAAACTATAAGAGTTACAGAAAAATTTTAAATGACAAATTTGTAGTACGTTTAAAATCCAAAAAAAAAGTCTTTGTCAACTTTTTCATATCATCAATAACAACAAAGTTACAGGCTCACGAATATTTATTTTTTCAAATTTTTGCTCTTACGAACTGAAATATCGACAATTCAACAAAAAAATTGGTACAACATTGGATAGATCAGATATTTTGTATTATCAATAGTTAATAGTTACAGACTTATTTGACATATTTTAATGATTTTTCAAGTATATTATAAAATATATTGATAAAGGACATAAAATATCAGTAAGATAAGTATAAAAAGCACAGTCAATTCTGTAATTACGATATTTATTTCAATAATGTTTTAATTTTTTTGTTGAATCTATGTATGAATAGGCAAAGACAAAACAGTTCAGTACCATTTTCTCTTCCGTCAGTCAATTTTTTATTGCTTAGTAGCTGTTGACGAGCTTTTTGTTATCAATACAAAAAATAGAAATAGTTAGGTTTTTTTACATAAACAGGTAAATAAGGCTTTCTTAAAATTACGCGAATATTTACCATTTTAAATAAAATTATTTTTTCGGATTTTTTTGCGGAATTATTATGACTTGAGATTTATTTTGGAGAGAGGCGGTGAGGGTCTCTCCCGTGACCATGATTGCTGTAAAGCATTCGAAACGTCAGGAACCAAAAATCAAAATAAATTCGCAAAAAAAAAACGGCAAGGTAGTTTTATTTAAAAGGTTAATAAGGGTTATGTTCAAATTTCGAACACTGTACGACGAACATTACCATTGTTAAGAATTCATAAAGAATCATTTATCCGTCTAGAAAAATATTTAAAAACAAAATTAGCGAAGATATCTCCTTTTTCTGCAGACAGGTAATATATTTTTTTTTCATTACAGTATAAATGTTCAATTAAAATAATTCTAATACAAAATTAACATTTCAATGAACAAAATATTGTGCAACATATT